AGATAACTTTATAACTTTTATTGTTGCAAAAGTAGAGCATTAAAGTTATTACATTTCCATAAATGATAAATTCAGAATAAATAACAGAATAACAGAATCATTTTTTAAAACAGAGAAACAAGCAATTCACAGATAATACGCAATGTTTTCACCTTCCACATTCAGCTTTAAAATGTAGCAACTGATAGTAAAATTGAGAACTTCAGTGTGCATGTGATTTAAGCTTTACTCCCAAACACAGGGCCAGCTCACTCTTCTGAATCTTCCCGTCTTTATTCACATCACAGTGGCGCAGCAGAACCTCACGCAATTTATCCAGATCAACACCTCTGATACTGGGCTGCGAGAAAGAAGAAAGTGGTGGAATACAGAGTGAAAACAGGCAGAAATGTATGTAGAAAGCTCAAGAGAGCGTCACAAACAGTTGCTACTAGTGGCAATTATTAGTAGTATTATACTAATATTATAGTAGGCTTTAAAATTTCCAATAAATAATTGCATTTATGTCCAGATCCCAAACTATTTAAGCCTAAGTCACACGCTAATGTTTAATACGGAAGGTTATGGACCCAAATAACCGAAAAACAACAAAGCAAAATGTATGAGTTATAGCAGTAGTGATGTTTCCTTAGAATGTTTCACAGACATGTACGTTTAGGTTTGTTATAAAATTGGTAACTTGTTTGCTTGTGATGTTTATTACTGTTCAATCACTTACCCTGACGAGCTCCGTCATGTCTTTGACAAAACCGTCCACCTCTGGTCCTTCAAGTGCTCCAGTCTTACTCTAAAAAGAGAGCCAACTATTAAAGAGCTGGATCTTCTTTAGCAGTGCTTTGTGTTTGTTATTGTGTCCAAATACCACATTTGAAATGTATCATGACAGTTAGTATCTAATGTACACGACAACAAACAATATAATGCGAATGAAATCATAATTCATCAGTCCACAAAAAGTAATTCAAGGTGAACTTTCGTTTAACACTGTAGACTTATCCATGGGGTTAGCTGGTTACTTAGCATGTCTAGTTAGCCACTAATGCTATGAGCAGTTCTTGCAAGCAACATATAAATTGCAAATATTGTAGATGTTTGCCAATGACCAGTAGTTTAAAATTGTGCCATCAGCCAATTAGTGTTATTGTCATGTTAGGACACAATAAAACATGGCATTTACAGCTCAGGTGATTTAAAAGCATGCACAGGACATGTTTGTATTAACAGTACTGTAGAAAGGTTAAAAACATTCTTACAATATCATAATGTGCAAAGATCTTCTCAAAGTCTCTCTTTCTCTCCTCTTGACTGCTGGCCTGAAGAGGGCAGGAAATAGAGAAGGTATCATGCACTGGTTTGCAGCAAATTATTACATTTAGGAGTCACAAAATATGAAATGAATTTGACAAAGTACTAACATCCATTTTGAACTGCAACAAGAAGTTGTCTTGCAGAGCCAGAATTCTGGAGAGGAAATACAGTTTCATACTTGAACTCCACAACACTAGGCGCGTTTCCATTACCCTTCAAATTGCGCAAATTGAAATTGCGAATCGAAAATGCGCCTAATGGAAACGCGTCAATTTCGCAAAAACGGCCATGAACTGACTCGAGCTGAATAACGACACTATTGACTTCTGTAGGGCTGCTTCTAACTCCATAATTGATGATCTTTGTATTGAAGAACTTTAACGTTATTTTCCTGTTTATTACTGTGAAGCGGCTTTGAGACAATCTGTCCTGAATAAAGCGCTATATAAATAAAGGTGACTCGACTTGATAATGTGTACTTCACTGCCATTGGCAGCTGCTCCCAAATGTCACTGCTCATTTGCATAAAGTTCATCTTTCTCAAATTTGTTGCATCACTTGACATGACCACATGGTAAATTTCACTTGTTTTGCCTGAAGTGAGTTTTTGAACCATGCAATAGTAAAACACTTTAATTAATTTGTTGTGGTAATTCTATAGTTGCTGTGGTAATTTAACATATATATAATAATATAAACAAATTAACCAATACTGTACTAAGTTTTCTACAACTACAGGGTATATTATACTACAATACACTACAGTTTACTGTAGTAAACACTAAAGTATACTACAGTATTTATTACAGTTTATAAGTTCACTACAGTTAATACTACAGTATGCTGTAACATTCATTAACAAAGTGTTGTAAATACTAGAATATATACAGAATAATACACTTTACTATAGTATGGTTCAAAAACACTATAGTATTTACCATAAATTACTATAGTATTTTTTCATGTGGGTTGGAAAGCTCTACTTAGGCAGTGACTCCATACATCTTACAAATGTTTTATAAGACAGCATAATTATACTTTTTGGATTAGTCTCTTAAAAATGTGTTAATGAGTGTAACAGTGTGTTTGCGTCTATCTTTCAACAACACAAACATTCACACAAAGAGCCATTCTAACCCTCAAGGCCTAAACAGCTCAACAAGCACAGAACAAAAACACTACTGTTAAACACACATCACCTGGCTAGATCATTAAGATCCAGTCTCCCATCTTTGTTTTTGTCAAAAATGCTCATCTGCAAGACACAAAAAACCCCCCAAAGTATTCATGATTAGAAAAATAATGAGCATTTTCCAAACAATATCAACTCTAAGAATAACAATACTTGCTATCATTTTCACACTCACTGTCAATTTCTAAAATAGATTTTAAAATTTTTATTTCTGTACAATTAAGTGCACAATTAGCTGTTTAAACACCAATGTGGTGTACAACATATGCTCTAGGGTTTTCAAAGTCTACATTCAAAGGTCCAAATCTAATTTTCATCAGTGTCAAAGGTCCGGACCGGAACAATTGGTTATTACAAAACTTGTTTTTAAAAAACATAGGCTACATAACATGCATAGCAAATAAACATACATTTTTTGAAAAAAATAAAGTGCCCTTTGCATTCAAAATACATTAATAGCAAGTGCAAAATTGGCAAAACAATTAATTTAAGTGTCAGCAATAGAGATCGACCGATAAGGGTTTTTCTCTGGCCGATGCCCATTTTTACAAATCAGGGCGGCCGATATGTTCTCTTGAAATACGAAATGGAGGCGGGTCCGGACTGAATTCCCTCCGGGTCCAGATCCGGACCAGAGTCCGGACTTTGAGAAGCACTGCTCTAGGGGTATCAGTAGCCTGTAAAAAACCTGTCATGGGGGCCACCATTTGAAAACGCATGAGCAGCCAAACACTACTCACTTTATTGAGTAACACTGACAATTTCACTTGCTGTGCTAATGGAAAAAACCCAGACTCCTGAGTTCAGGTCAAAGGAAGGTTAATGCATGGGCGATCAGCTGCACTTTGCTGATGGCTGATGTAAACAGTGCTATCGGAAAGAAGCAATTTTAACTAGTGACACGGACCGTGTCCACATGTCATTGTGATGCCTGCCAGTGACGTCATAACCCCTCGATTTCTGAAAACGTGGAAACACCGAAGACGCTTTAATATGTTGTGCGTTTTAAAGTCGGCATGAAACGGAAGTTGCGATTGTCTTTTCTTCTCTGCTGTGACATATATCCGAGTGAAACGGCATCTGAAATGAGAGGGCGGGACTTGATTTCGTCCTTCAGGAATTGATTGGATCGTTTGAAGTTGGGGCGTTGCCAACAGAATGGAGGCAGATCTGAATGCCAGTTTGTAGACACCATAGCATGAATAAATGTTTTTTTTATTGAGGATGACGATGATGATCAACGGCACAAAACATGCCTAAACAGTGCGCATGGCGAGAGAGAGAGACTGCCTGAATGACAGAGCACATTCTCCATCAGGTGAAGTCATATTCATAAAAAAAAAGATAATTAGTTTGCGATGTTCTAAGAGTAATGTTGTCATAATACCCTAATATCTTTTCAATGTTTAAGGGTAATGTATTCCCTTATGACTGGTGTCAGTGCTATAAAGTGAAGCATCAGTCGTTTATTCCAAACTTCACTGATGTCACTGCAGCTGTTGGCAGTTCCAGATAGCTCTGCCCTTGCACCATAGCTCATGACTGGAAGAGTAGAGGAGTCGTTAGAGCCCTGCACGGGCCTCAGATTTAGGCCCTAGCCCGGCCCGTGTCCGACAAGCTTATCAGAATTACCGGCCTGAAAACAAACATGATGCGCTTTCTGCCATCTCGTCTTGAACCGGAGTGCTTCACAAAAATTAACCAAAACTCACCAATGTCTCACAGACATGATAAATATATCTATAGAAAGCTTTAAATTAATACTTAACGAAATAAAACTAATCAAAAACAAAAACTCTTTAATTATAATCATAATCCGTAAAGATGCACTTCTCTATAAAGGCGCGTCTAATGAGGAGATGGCGAGTCAGGATCTGCAACTTCATCCTTGCGACACAGACTCAGAAAACACTAGTTTATTAGTAAATAACTGAAATATCTCCTTACTATTTCCCTGTCACATTTATGGTAATTACTTTTGCCGGTGGTTTGCGGCAAGCTTAAGCCTATTGCTTGCATTTGAATGCAGAACTGTTCAGCTGAGCTGACGGCACACACCATACATACTGCTGCTGCGGGACACTAAACACCGTCGAGCCGCTCTTGACAGTTGCGGTAGCACGGTCTCGTGTTGTTTTCACCAGCGAGGCAATTTTTTTCATCACTAGCCTAATTGATGGATGTCTAAAATATAAAAATATGGAGAAGCCTAAAACAGGCCCGAGGCCTGGCCCACGTCTGAACTATGACGTGAAAATTGGCCCGAAGCCCGGCCTGAGGGGCATAAAAAAGTCGGGGCCCGTCGGGCCCGGCCTGAAATGCAGGGCTCTAGGAGTCGCTTTGAGGGGGAGGGGAGGTTAACGTTTTTGATTAAAGATTACGAGGGCACATGAATTTTTTTTAAATAATGAAGTGCACAGATAAATAATATATAATAAACACTACAGTATTCCATCAAAAAATAAGAATTGTCAATTTTGATTTCTTGCCGACTTTAATAGACCGGTGACGACCGCACAGAGTAGCATTATAACAGAACTTTCAAACGTATCTAGTATGATAAAACGGTGCTGCTTTTCCCCCCCCACATACGCACAACCGGAAGGAGCGGAAGCAGTCGACTGTGGCATAATAAAAGCTCCGCTGCTTTCGATGCCGTGTGTCACACTTGTTCAGTGGCATCGTTTCGCTTCGACGGCTTTCAGCCTCACCCTGCTTCATT